ATAAATACATAAATAATGATCAATACAAAACCAGATCCGTGAATTGTAATGAGCACAACATAGTTAGGGATACAGTAGTGGGATTTCAATCGACAGACACGGAATAACAATGAAAAAGCGAAATTTTTCAGAACTAGCTGCAATGGACCTCAAAAGCAATTTTACGTTGATTATTTCAATCAAAACACACATATTGTCATCCCTAAGGTTCCGTATCTACTTCTACTACTATTTAAATCTTCACATTCATAAAAAGAAAAAGTAAACGAAAAATTTATTAAACTGAAGATTTCGTATGGTTCAGAAATCCTCCTCTAAATTAAAGCATACGTGACCATTCTATGGCCACTATGTTTGTAGCTACGTCAAGGTCTCTTCCATGGAATAAATACAAGAAACTTCTAAAAGAATCAGGCGTGCGCGAAAAAAATGAGTGTAATGGGTGCGGGGGATATATATCCCCGCGTTGTCGTCAATGTGTTAAATGAATTTTTTATTTCTCTAGCCTGGAGAAGGATGGGATACGGCTCCAGGTAGGCATTTGACATTTCACCTGATCAACACATGCGTCTGCATGGTCACCTCAACGCTGATGTCAGTGTTGTCGTTCTCACAAATGGGCATTGAAATAGGCAACTAAAGACAGTGACCACGATTCTGGAGGGCGGTGCGGTTTTGATGACATCACTGAACGTCATTAGTGGATTAGATCCCGAAGTCTGCTGGAGGTATGATTGAAACGGCCTTTGACATCCTTCCTCCAATAACGCTCAATGAAGTCATCAAAACCGCCACGCCCTAGCTTATTGTGATCTCGGACTTCGACGTATTCGGAGAAGATGTACACCTGAGCGAGCTGAGTGAGTAACTAAGCAGTACTGAGAAGTAAGTTAGAAAGGTGAACTAGATTTGTGCCTAATATTTGGCTAAATAAAACTTAAATGGGCGGAAGTGGTGTAGTGGCAAGTGGCACGCTTACCACGCGAGCGGTCCGGGGATCAAATCCTGGGTCGTGAGTCGCCCGGGCCAACCAAGCCTTCCATCCCTCCGGGGTCGGTTAATTGGTACCAGACTTGTCTGGGAGGATAAAAACACTGACTTGTACATCGGCTGGCCCCCGCAAGTCATTGTATAGGCCACATCGCATTCAAACGCCACTACGAATGTACAAATGAAGTATCGCTAATGGGTCTTACTGAGGAGGAGGAGGGGACCCGACCTAGCGGATGTCAAGAATAAGGCATTGGTCTACCGAGCTTTTCGTTTTAGCGAGGCACTTAAAGGCAGGTACCGGGAAATTTAGCGCCTGGAGCACAGCAAGATGGAGCAGTGTTCCGGCTCAGCCGGATATCACATCAATTATCGAATGATTGCATCATAACCTAATGTCAACATGTCCTTTGTTACCCTTCTTCTCCTTTTATCATTTTGTTGTTTTAACACGTTGACGACATCGCGTGTTTTGGCATTATGCAC